CGCAATCCGTTTGGCCAAATTCAGGCTCTAAATCCTCCAAATTGATAGTCAAACCCAGAAAATGCTTATATACTTAAGAATTTTAGCTTTGAACAATTAAGTAAGATTTGGGGCTGATAAATTATTATTATTTGAAGGTACACGAGACTCTCCGGATCGTTCAACAGCTCGACCCAGCTCTTCTAGATCAGTTAAACCATGTATGCCAGTATTCACCCGTAAGACCCGTAAATTTTATGATTTTAGAGATTTATTTATGTTACCCATAAGTAATATAGTGTTACTACAAAATAGGTTCGAAAACTATAGCAGAGCGTGGTGAAACCAGCAATTAGTAGATCTACTATTTGAAACTATTATCGAGGTGTGTTCCCTATTTATTACTGAACTGTTTTATTTGTTTTAATATGTGGTACACTGAATTCTTTGGTTACCGTATTGTTGATGCACCGATTTAATGTGATTATTTATGGATTATGAATGTTATCTGATATTTGTTTTGAAATGGTATATGATTACCATGTTTATGGATTTATGGAATTTATAACACGGTGCAATTGAATTTTTGGAATACGAATTTATAAAGTACAGCTCTGATCAAGATGGAAAATTTTATGGACCTAATGTGACTCTTAGGTAGGCTCTGCGGCCCTGAGATCATTCTCGGGTAGGCCCTACAGCCCTAAGATGTGTTCTTAGGTAGGCCCCACGGCCCCGAAATCTATCTTGGGTAGGCTCTCAGGCCCTAAGATGTTCCCTTAAGGTAACGCTTTTTAAAGAGATTTACTGCAGTATAATTTTATGGGACTTAATGGACTATGATTTGTTTAGTGTACCTATTGTAATTTTATGGTAATGTTGGGACACACTGAGCCTAGCTCACTTTTCGAAAATGTTTTCCACCTTTCAGATACTGTTGGTTAGATACCCTGGATTGAGCACTTGGAGGATCAACATATCTCTTGAAGTATATCTGATTGTAATGTTTTTACTTTGCAAGTTGACTTTATTTTGTTAACATGGACCTTATTTTAAAGTATGAGATTTTAATATGATGACATTTTTGCTATTACTATTCGGTTTATCGTGATTTGATTTTTAAGATATGTTTTAAATTAATTTATTACTTATTGGTATTATATTTACAAGTTAGGTTTTGATAGTATGATTTATTATAATTTCTTGTCATTTATAATGTGATTTTACATTGATTGAATAACGGTTTCGGAAAAATGTCTTAAAGAATCATAATGTGATCCACTAGACTTAGTCGAAACGCATAGCCGGGTCTAGGGGGTTACACCTCGAATTTTCTTCTTCTTCTTCTTTTCAAGAGTTATTTTTCATCTTCATTGTTCTTCCTCTTCACTTATTGGGACTTTCTTTTTGTTGGAAGCAAGGCGGTTAAGCTACGAGCTCTCGGATGCAATCTGAAGCCTCTCTTGCGTAAGAAAACATCATATTTTGTTTGGTTAAGGAAGGCAAGGCTGTTAAACTCTTAACCCTCCCCAGATATTTTCTTCTATGGTAACTTGGCTGTTAAGCCTCAAAGTTCCATGTCAAACTTTGGAGAAGAAATACCAGTGAATGTAGAAACCAAAATGTCAATAGCTGAACAAAGCAATGTTGTATCAATGTCCATCATTCAACATCAACTTACAAAGAATTTGTCTTCACACGATTCAGTTGAACACTGCCTAGAATGTACTCTGGAAGTTCTGCCTCTTCATTTGCCTCTATTAGTATTGCAAGATCTACTACTAAGCTTGTGACATATCCAAGGACAAGGCCAATAACACTTCTTGGTACTGATGATGATCCAATGTCCACGTCAATCTCCAGGAAATTGTCTTGCCTGAAATATTTGCACGAAACAGCTTTCCCAAGTAGGCAGGCTTTTGTTCCAACTGCATGTTTGACCATCCAATACCCCTCAACAATGCTTGGTATCAGTTTAAATCTTGAATCACAAAATGCATCCGTTCCATCTAAAAACTTTTCCAGCAAAGAATCGTTATTCACAGGCCGGTCAGCAGCATAGTAGAGGAACAAACTATAATTCGGTTTTGCAGGAATCTCAAGATTAATCACAAGGACAAATGGAAGTTTGTTTCCCTGCTTCAGACTGAACTTGAGACTTTGGATGCAGTGCAATTTTATCTGTGGCTTTATCGACTTTGAACCAGTCAACATTTGTTTCCAACCAGCAGTATAACACATAACAGAACAATAATACCATTGAAGCATTTAGCCAAACACATTGGAGGCGCATATAACACAAAATTGCAATATCCTCACCACACAAAGAACCAACCAGCATAGTATTCAAAATTCAATAAGAAATCCAAGCAGATAGAACCATACCATAACAGAACACCAACTTTCAAGAGCAGCAAGTCAGCAGAAGTCAAGCATACTAAACTACAGAAACACGAGAACTAACTAAACAAAGAAAGGAGACTACGAAATATTCTTCATCGTTCATCACCGCCAACTGAACATGCCTCAGAATTATTCTGTTCTTCTTGTTGTCTCTTGCCGCGTTTCCAGCAAATTCCAGAACCTCGGCGACGAGATATTCGAGTACGATGGAGAGATAAATGGGAAAACCAGATCTGACACACTCGGCATATCATTTTTTTTAAGGAAACGAGCCACATGGCTGACGGGAACTGGAGTCCGACTTTACTGGGTCGAGAAACGACCGTCGACTTCGGCTTGCCTCGGCCTCCTTTGGTAGTTGCTGCGGCAGAGCTCATGATTTCAGATGTTGAGCGGAAGGGAATTATTTGAACTTTGAAAATGAATTTTGATGGGAGATCGGAAATAACAGTAAATGAACTTAATCGTGCGCAACGGCGGAAGAGAAAACGACGTCAGATCTTTTAACGAATGATACCATGTGAAAATGCTGTCATGGAGGCTAAGAGATGAAGCTTTTATTGAACATTGAAGAAATACTCTACATACAACCTAATACAAGTATCACTTACATAGCTCAAGTAACCAACAAACCATAACAAACTAATAACAAACCATAACAAACTAATAATAAATTAATAACATTCTAACAATGGATGCTAATTGTGTGTTGTGTGGAGTTGAAGTGGAGTCAAGGGACCATCTGTTTTTCGCGAGACATATGGACGACGATCTTGACTTGGTGTGGTATTCAGCGCGTGGTGCGAGACTGGCATTGGGAGTTGAGCAAGGCCTTGAGTCATGGGAGAGGTAAAAAACCTTCTACTTTGCTTTTGAGAGTTGTGTGGAATGTTTGTATATACCTTATTTGGGAAGAACGAAGGAGAGTTTTTAAGAGCTTAACCAAGAGTAATGATGAGATTCTTAGTTCTATCAGGGAGAATGTACAGGTGAGAGTTTTTTAGCAATGATATTTTAAAGACGAGCCTTCACCCACTGTTGTTTTTAGAGTGGGGGGGGTTCAAGTCTGAATTCTTTTATTATCTTAGTTGTATTAATTTAATACATACATTTTATCTATAAAAAATGAAAATAAAAAACGTAATATTTGGGGTTACAATGGCCCCATAGCCCACTCTTAACAAAGGTTAAATTATCTAACAAACAGGGTCAACTATTTATAGATATAGGAGCTGTAAGTATTATTTTATCAAAGTTGTAGATGATATTTAGTTTGATTAGTTGATATTTGTAAATGTAATGGCCGGCCTTTGGCCTTGTTAGGTGCCTAAAACTAAAGAAATTGGATGAAGGCAAGTGGGCAAAATAAGTATCAGAGTAAGGCATGAAACTGGGGTTGTTGGTTGTCATAATTTTATTTTCAAATGCTTTAGTTCTCTGAATATTCTTCCGAAAAGGCTGTTAAATTCAAAACTAAGGTGGCAAGAAACCCTTTTCCATGTTTTTATAAATGATCGATGATACCTTCCTCTCACCACTACATTGCCTCAAAGCAAAGTAAAACCAAAAGTAATGGAACAGCCCACCTGACCCTACCATCCCCAAAACCACAATAAATTTTTAATATTTTTATTTCATGCATAATTAATTTAAGATTAAACTACTCGTTTAATACCTAAACTATTATTTTTTATTCCATTTTAAATAATTTCACATCGTAACGTGAGTAATTGATGAAGATCAAGTATAAAACCAACACTCCGATAAACCAAATTTATTACAATGGTAATTATTTATTTTCCCCACAATTGAAAACTTAAATAATAGTTTCTTCAAAAGAAATTAATAAGTTTTAATATTAAAAATTAAAAAAATAATATTATATTATAATAAATTAAACATACGTATATTATTTTATAAGGTAAAGTACACACAAAATGCTCCCTTGACTATAGAGGATGTTTTGTTGAGTCCCCTGACTATTAAAAAACATGAAATAATCCTTTGAGTATAAGACATTGTTTTATTGAGCCACCTGACTATTAAAAGTTAAAAAATTGATATATTCCATACTCGTTTTTTTCTGTTAAAAAATTGATGATAATCTAATCTGGACGTTGACGTGCTGATTGTGAGATTATAGAATTTGATCTCGAAATCTCAAACGACTATTACATCTCAGTTAACATATTAACGTCTAACTTGGACTGTCATCAATTTTTTTAAAGAAAAAGACAAGTTTGGAACATATGAATAGTCGGGTAATCATTTTATAACTTTCAATAGTCGGAGGACTCAACAAAACATCTTATTGTTGGGGGACCATTTGTGTACTTTACCTTATATCTTATTATCATCTATTAAAATAATCTTGTATCTCTCATGTCATTGTTTTATAATTTTTTTTTCACTTTTTTCACGAAAAAATGAAAAAAAATAAAACCATTTCATAATTAAAAAAAAGATGCTTAGTCAAAACCTCATTGGGTTCAAACAAAATTGAAATAAATTTTAGTTGGTAATTGGATCATTGTGGAAGTGGATAAATCAATTTGTATTAGATAAACAAAGTTTATAACCGAAATGGCTAAAAAAATAAACAAAAGAAAACATCATTCCCGAGAAAATAAACGAATCAAAGTTTTATATAAGACCAAAACCAGTTTCTGCTTTGTCCACCATCAAACAGAGAAAATGTTTTCGTTCTGCCGCTTTCTTCAATCGCAACTCGCCTACTGACTCGGCTTTCTTCGACTCTGTTAGTAACTCGAGTCTCTTCATCATGGATGGTCAAGCTCGTCGGAGACACGGCTCCCGCCACCGATCCTGGTGTTGTACGTTCAATGCACCTCCGCCGAGTCCTGAAAACCCACATTTGTCTCAGCGTTATCATAGCAATAATAGCAACTGCAAAACCAAACTCGGTCCACAAAAGGCTGATTCGCTCTCGAAACTCACAACTTCCATCTCTGTTCCCAACTCACCCCAGAGTTCCAAATCCGAGTTGAGTATCGTGGGTCGGATGGACCCGCGTCGTATCCTTTCACCCGGACGGGTTTCACCTATAGACCACGCCGATTCCTTAGAAGGAGATCTCCACTCTTCACACGCAGCCCCATCTGCCGCTGCGGTTGATTCCATACCCAGATCGCGATCGCAGAGTTTTCGGGCCAAAATGGAGAGCCCGGATACAAATTCGAGTTTGGATCCTAGAGGGGTCGAAGAAGGGGGAGGAGGAGCGTACGATGTCAGGCTGAATTTGAAAAGGAAAAATGGCGGGGTTATGGTGCTGGAGCTGAATTCGGCGGTTTTAGCTTCGAATTCTGAAGTTTTTGCGGGTCTGATTGCAGGTTCTTCGGGGAGGAAAATGTGTAGAATAGAAGTTCCTGAGGTGGAAAATTTAGGGGTTTTTAAAGAAACCATCGAGCTTATGTTCGAAGAAGATATAGCCAAGAGGCTTGTCAAAATCGGGGTTAACAGAGCCATTGACATTCTCGAGGTGAGCCTTCTTTTTATTTGATTGTTATCTTTTTGTATTGGAATGTATAGTATGTGTTGATGTCGTTTAGAGAAAAATATGTTAAAAAAGAAGATAAATTGTTTTAATAAACTAAGAAACTTTGGGGCATTTCCTTAAATAGACCACACACACATACAAGTAATCTTCCCTTCAAAAACCATTAGTTGTTAAATCTAAAGTTTTCCTTTTCATTTGAACTTTAAAGATTGATCGAGTTAAGGGGATGGATTTATTTGAAAATGCAATTCTTTCATCATGTAGAAAATTATTGTATATGATATTTTCTGCCGGAACCTAATGATTAGGAAGTTCTTAGTTTTATTAGAAGCGAGCATTGTTCTATACTCTTATTTAACAAAGCAAGGAGTTTTAAACAAAAAGCCAATAAAAAGTTGTTGTCTGTTGTTCTCTGATCCTTCTTAAAATTTTTAAGACTGTGAAGGTCATTTTGGAGAACATGTTACTATTGTCAAGTTTATTCTTTTCCTTTTTTTTTTTTGGTTAGAAATTGGACTCTAATGCTCAATATGCTATACTTTTTTCTTCTTCTTATAACTGACAATAGGATTACACACTGCAGAAAATAGGAGAAGTTTTTGAATATGGTAAAACTTTGATAGCATTGCTAGTAATTACGCACCCCGAAAATTGAAATGTATGCTAACAAGGAATTATTCCTATTTATTAAATGTAATCTTGTGGAAAATATGGAGTCTTCTTGTGAAGGTTTTCAGCAATGACTCCAGCAAAGGTTTGCTATTGCCTTTAGGGGGCAAGAGGAAAAGAAACTTTTTCCTCCTACCTCTTAGTTATGTAATTCTATTTAAGCGAATTAAGAGCTTTATTTTATCAGTTGGGTTTCTTATTTACAACTCCTTGCCTTATTATCCGCTAGTTTCCTCTCCGCTATTTTTACTATATTTTTTGTGTTTTATCGTTTTCTATTAAATTCTTAAAAGCTGATTATCATTCTAGAAAATTCAGTTTCTCTACACAATCCTTAAAAGCTGTTGAATTTATTGCTGTTATTGAGTCCAACAATGTTGCTTCTTAGCTCTTGAAGCCATTTGTCTCTATAACTATCATTGCCCCCAACTCAAGCTTTATGTCATGTAAAAAACTTGATCCCTTTTGTTGCATAACTATTAGACCAAAACCTTTCTTTTTTAACCTTAGCCCCTCTAGAGTACTCGCTTAGGCAATTTAAGCCACCCTATTATTCCTTTTTTTTTTGTCATATGTAGCAGCAAATAGATAAGTTCATACTAAAATGTTTTGACCCTTGAGTTTTCCTCTTGTATATTTTACCTAGAAAATTCCCACACATTTTTTTGGTGGTGGTGGTGGGGTGGGTAGTTTATTTGTTGTCTGATTTCCGGGTCCCCTGTTACATTTGTGTTGCATTTTACTCTTTTCCAAACTGCATGTTCCTAATAATTTTATGTCTACGTTACATTAATTTTGAAGAACAAATTAATATTTTCAATGTGTCTTGTTTGATGACTACTCTTTCATGAGAAGTCAACAGATTTTGTTCACTACTTGTGAATTCAATGCATGATGATAGGAGATTTTGCAGCTTAATTGAATTTATTATCTAAAGACGGTCAGTGTTGTTGAGGTGCATGCTAAGGCATAGCTCCTGAAAACAGAAACACCTCAGCCCATATTGAGCAAGGTGCATTTGATCGGATCACACTTGATGCATCTAGGCCCCTTTTTATAGGCAAGACAGTAGGTGCAAAATAGTAATCTAATTAAAGTTCTCTTTCTTTTGTTCTATTTTTAATTTTACCTTTAATAGTAAACGAGGGGGACAATATCTAACTAAATTTAGGACAATAAGGATAAAACTAATCCGGTCTTCAGCACTGTTGTTAAGGTGTGCACCTACACATTATTAGTGTTGGACAACAATAGGCTTCGTACCTTTTTAGGCAAGACAAATTTGATTGGGCACTTGCCTGGTGCGCTAGACACTTTTTCTGTAAGGCAATGGCACAAAAACACCTGCTTGATTGATGTTCTCTTTAATTTTGTTAAAAATTCAAATAACTTAACCTTTACCAATAAAAAAGGGGGATGAAATAAAATTCTCTACTTCTCAGTATTTGAGTATTTGACAATAGACATGAGACCATAAAAAAATCATGCATTTTGGTCAGAGAAGAAAAGAAAATTTTGCATGTTTTTTAGCATATACTAGACCAGTCTTTAGGGTTATTAACATAATTATATATACTATGCTTAGTTTTACAGACACATACACAATTACTCACATATACATATTGAACCTTGCTTCACTTAAGCAAGTGTTTTTCTTTTTTGTGCCACCTCTTGCAACTTTATTGGGTTCTTGCATTTAGAATGTACCTTGCACCCTTAACAACATTGGTCTTTAGAATTATTAGCTGAATTATATATCATAAGCTTATTTTATATATTATATGCACAGACACTATCACATCTTGCCTTATCAATCAATCAAGTGCTTTATTGCGCTTCAAGCAATATAAGGGTTGTAGTGACTCGATTACACTTTATGCCCTTTATAATGCTAAATAGATTAATCCTGTTATGATTTGGTGGTTTTCTATGTAATCTTTCCAGTTCCCTCATCAGTAAGCAATGGTCATGGCCTGCATTTAACTTAGTTTTGAAATGGTTGCCGGTCTATTGTTCTTATCAACAATTATCATCAAGCAATCCCTTTTCTCCTTTAGTTTTCTTAATTTGGTGGTAAATAATTGGGCTGTTGGTAGCTATAGCCTGTAGGTCCTAAGTTTAAATAAATCAGCAAGGTGCTGTCAACTACTTGGTGTTAACAAAGGTATCAATTTCCCATGTAGATCTATGAGAAATATGTTGCAAGAGACCTTTCTATTACTTCATAAAAGATATATGCTGAAGAGATATCAAGTTATGCCAGAGCCTGTAATAGGATAGCTTCTCCGCCATGGCAGGAAGAGCTTTCCCCTTGTTTATCTTTTCTGTCTCTGTCTCTCTACTAACCTTCTAAACTGTTCTGTTCTCAGATGTAATGCAATCTACTGTGGTTTATAGTTTTTTAGGTTTGTTGAGAGCTATTCTTGGTTCATTTGCGTGGTACCAGAGTTGGGCATGCTGCTAGATTTGATTTAGTGTCCTATAAGATACTATATCGATCTAGAAGGTTCTTTTCCATTACTAGATTGCTCATTCATGTGTGTGTTTTCTTTTCGGCAATTATAAATGCTCTGTGCAGACAACTTTACTGCACATATATATGGGGTGATGATTTGCATATGAAAATTTGAAATATGTTGGCTTTAGCGTTCTTTTTCTTCCATTATACAATATTGTGGAAGAAAAAGTTGCCTCTAAATCTTGCAAGAGAAATAGATGGTCCGGTGTAACTGTGTAAGATAATTTCAAGCTCTTTTCTTGACCACTGCAATGTGAATTTTCAGCCTCCTTTTTAGGTATTACTATGTTCCCCTAAAATTCCTCAAAATACTGACATCATTTGAAACTGGTATCAGGTAGCAGCTGGCATTATGTTTCACAGAGGTGTTTTGTCTTGTTTAAAGTACCTAGAAGCTGTTCCGTGGACTGAGGAAGAAGAAGAGAAATTAAGGAGCCTGTTTACAAGGTTCAAGTTTGATGATGCAACAAGTAGAGATATCTTGGCTAGATTATATTCTCAGCAATCAACAGGTACCCCCCAAAATTTAGCCAGACATCTTGTTTCATCCATCACCACCTGTTCTGATGCCAATGCAAGAAACGAGCTGAAGTCACTGGTGAAGGATCTCCTTAGCAAAAGCTCAGTCTATGAGGAGCAACCTGACATCAACAAGGAGGATTTCTATGATGTTTGCCAATCCTGTTTACGTGTGCTAGTCAACCTGTTTGAGGAGGCTTCTGATGCTATACCCCATGAAAAAATGGGCAAAAAGGAGATGGGTAAACCTCTAATTGCACGCATCACCAGACAGGTGGATAATATTAACTGGCTGCTGGAAATCTTGCTTGATCGACAAATGGCCGAGGAGTTTGTGGATCAGTGGGCCCATCAAGGAAACTTGCTAAAATTGCATGAACGAGCATCTCCCATGGTAAGGTATGAGCTAAGCCGTGTTTCAGCGACTTTGTTCATTGCAATGGGTACAAGAAAGCTGCACTGCTGCTGGGAGGCGAGGTCAGGGCTTCTCCAAGCATGGTTTGGGCCAATGCTATTGGATTTTGGTTGGCTGCAAAGATGCAGAAAGGGACTTGACATGAAGGCACTAGAGGAAGCTATGGGTCAAACCCTTCTTACACTTCCTCTGAAGCAACAGTATGTTCTGTTTATGGAGTGGTTCAGATGTTTCTCCAAGAATGGCACTGAATGCCCTAATCTGAGCAAGGCCTTCCAGATATGGTGGCGCCGATCTTTCCTTAGGGGCTCCGAAACACATGGTGTTGAATCTAGGTAACCGAGTAATATTCTTTTAATCTTTTGTTTCCCATTTGTGTGTGATATTAGCATGGTGTAGCATGAAAGATTGATAAACATCTGCAAGGGAATGGATAATAATGTAGAATCTATGTGAAATTGTTGTAAGAGGAAACTTGTATCCTATATTCTGCCTATCAGTCTTTATGCTCACAAGGATGCCATAGTAGGAAATTCAGTATCATGCTACTGAAAACACTAATCCAAACGCTGCAGAATAGCATGCTACTTAAAACACTAATCCATGAATATTAACCATTTTTTTGTTGAAATCATACTCATTTTATAACATTTATACCAAGTATGAAAACATGATAATTTACGAAAGAATTTCAATTTAAACATTCAATACATAAATAAATAAATGTTATAATACTATAACTTGACCCATTTTTCAAACCATAATCTCTACATGCTCGCCAAGATGTTATCACTAGGGACGGAGCTAGAATACAAACTAAAGGGTAGGGGTGTACAAAATTGAGTACCCAAACTAAATGGTAGGGGTGTACAAAATTGAGTACCTAAAATATTAGGTATCTGAAATTTTCAGGTACCAAAATATCGGCTCATATCTTGATCTGTTATGTTTGAGTACCCAAAATATTAGGTATCTGGAATTTTCGAGTATCAAAATGTCGGCTTATATCTCAATATGTTAAGTCTGAGTACTCGTAAGTCGGGTATCAATAAAATTCAGGTACTCACATTTTCGGGTCACAATACATGATTCATATATATTTTGATTAAATTATATTATTTTAAAAAAAATACATAGAAAAAATTAAAATTTAAAGGTTTATAATACATAATCCACCCCTAAAATTTAAAAATTTAAATTATATAATTGAAAAATAAAACTTATTAAAAATAAAATTAAAGAAATATAACTAAATTAAAAATATTTTGAAGCTAAAAGAAATAATTTAGAATATTAGGGTAAAATAATTTTAAAAATTAAAAAATTTAGAATTACGGTGAAACAATTTAAGAAATTAGGAATTTAGAATGCTAAGGTGAAATAATTTGGGAATTAGGAATAAAAAATCTAATATAAAATATGTAAGAAATTAGGTACCAGGTCGGTGAGTGCCTGGTTAAAGGATATTTATCCTATCACGCTTCAAGTAGCTTGTAACCTATGAATCGAAACACATTAAGAACGTTAAGTTAACAAGGTCAGTGTCACACAATAACACTACTAGACTACACACATTCATAACATAAGTTTACCAACAAGTATAATTAAAGAAACAATGCTACCAGTGTCATCAATGCTATCAAGCCATCTATTCAAAGTATGTCCGTGATCACTATCCTAATCACAATACAACATCAAGGTGACCCGAGCTCAAACACTCATATAAAACACAATACAATACCAAGGATGAGGCTCGAGTCGCGGAGCTCAAACACTCATCTACAACACTAAAGCAGACATTATGGTATAGTCTAGGGTCACACGCTTGTCATAGGATTCACACCCCTCTAGCTTACAAACTAGACACTTTAGATGAAATCTAGATCGCATTCGTATAAGAAACGTACATCCAGTGGCCCCTTATGGTCAGTACCTTGGGTGAGACCTAGGTCACATTTGCATCAAGAATGTAAACTTAACTAGCCTACTCCTAAGGGTGTTCAAAATTTAGTTTTAACCGAATTAACCGACCGAACCGAACTAATTCGGTCGGCCACCGAATTAGTTCGGTCGGGGAACGGTTAAGGTTTTTTTGGATATTCGATTAACGGTTAATTCGGTTCGAAATCAATAACTTTAAGATCCAATAATAATTTATAATTAAAAATTTTAAACCTATGGGTTCAACCCAAACCATTTAAAACACAATTAATAATTTAAGATCCAATAACTTTTAAACCTAAATCAATATTAATTAATTAAAAATTTTATATAAAATTTTTATTTTATAATTATATATTATTTAAATGAATTGTAAACTGGTTTTCTGAATTAAAAAATATTAAATATATTTTATATAACATATGGGCTAAGCCCAAACTATTTAAAATCCAATTAATAATTTAAGATCCAATAACTTTTAAACCTAAATCAATATTAATTAATTAAAAAATGTATACAAAATTTTTATTTTATAATTATATATTATTTAAATTAATTATAAACTATTTTTTTAATTATAAATATTTAATTTTTATATAAATTAGAAAATTTTAAAAAATTTCAGTTAATTCGAAAATTAACCGAAAATTGTTCGTTCCGTTAACCGTTAAAGAAAAAAAATTCGATTAATTCAGTTAATGGTAGTTTAGTCGGTTCGGCCACCGAATTAACCGAATGAACAACCCTACCTACTCCTTTAGAGTAAAGGATGAGTCTAGCTCACAAGACCATTAGAGCAACATCCGACTAACATACTTTTATTGCCTAGTCACGAATCTTAGGATATCCAAATAACTCATCAAAAAAATTATCAAACACAATATACGATCGTCATACACAAGTAACTTAGTTTTCATCGTCGTTTCTAGAGTGTCAAACAAAGACATAAGTCTTATGAAATCCTAACTCATAAGGTTTTATAGTTATCGAAAATATAACTGTAACACCCCCAAACCGTATCCGACCCGGATCCGAGTCCGAGGTGTCACATCAACTTTTAAAACCTTTACTTACTCAAAATAATGAAAATTTCTTGTTAAAGAAAACTTCATATTATTTCATCATAAAAGTTTACAAACTTATCAGAGCATATACTATTCAAATAATTTATATTACACGCCAACTATATCTAAAAGAATCAAATACATATAAAACATTTCTTTTCTGATCTGAAATATTGTAAGGAAAATGCTGATCTATCTTGCTCCTCTTAACGTATCTTCTCGCTTTCCGGAACCTACGTGTGAAACACTCACACGCTAAGTCGATGACTTAGTGAGGCATATAAAATATAACATAACCATGACTCCTAACAATGAATGCAGGTTTTCTACTATCATATCAAAAAACCTCATACACACTTCCACATAATGAATATATACATACATATACATCATCATATCATCTATGCTTATATATTGTTTCATGTCCATAAAGTCCTGTGTATTTATCTCATTCAGCTTATCACATTTTTTCTATTATCACTTAATCATTTCTTCTATATAATTCTTAATTATAAATTCATATCCCAAATTCACATATCTTATCCCTTATTCCATAAGTTTTATCTATCATATACCCATAGGTTTTGGTGACATGTTCTATATCATATTCTTGTATAACAACTCCTTATATTCTATTAATTCATTTTTTGTATAAGTTATCACATAAACATATATATTTTAGTAACTTATCGTAAATTAGCTCCTATAATATTTTCATTAAAATATATAGTCTTCCTATACAACTTTTCTCATATATTCTTATTCTTATTCCTACATATATATATTTTCTATTGGATATATTATTTACTTCATCTCTATTCTAATATAACTTCCATTATACTATTCCACTCACAAAGTATATTTCACACTACAATCTTAATTATTCTATTCATATACTCCTATAATTCACTCCCCCATTACATATACTTATACTTATGGAGTTCACAACATTTCTCAAGTAATTACTCATAACTTATCATATAAGCTTATTTTATTTGCTTATAATCCAACATATCAAACAATCATAAATTATAGCATTAAACATGTAACATATGCAATACATTCAACCAATACACTCACTTCCAATTACATAATTATATAACAATCATATTACTTTTTATTTATATTATATCTTTACTGGCCCATGTACACTTTGGAGAACTAAAGACATGTGAGTCTATTGAGGTTGTGCATTATGCTGTCACCACAACTCGTATAAATGCACCGAAGTGCCACATAGAATTACACCGAAGTGCCGCGTAGAATTGCACCGTAGTGCTATATAAGATGTCGGAAGGACCACGTAGAAAAATTCCTTAAGAATCATATACATATGCCAAGGACCAAATATGTGTCTCAAAAGACCTCATATATGATCCAAAGAATACATATATGTCCCGAATGACCGCATAGACCCTCGACTCTTGGCATGCCAACTATACCTATAGCTCTCGTATCATATAACATGGGCATTTTCACTTATATCATTTCACATATACACTTTCATATCACATGTCATATAAGCTCATAGCTTCTTTCACATATACATGTAGTCATATAGCTTCTTTTCATATTCTCATAGGATCACATAGCTCATATCTTATACTTTGTTTTCTCATGTTCACATATCACATATGTTCATATATATATACATCACATAGCACATACTTCTTATATCATTACATACAAAAGCATGTTAACACACATAATCATGTATACATACAATTCATGTCATCCATATACATATAATTATATATTCATGCATTCTAACATAGGAAATAGACTTGTCGCAAGTCTTGTTTCCATTTAGCACCATAAACTAACTAATATGCACTCACCTTGGTCTCACCAAGTTCCTATCCACTTTTATGATTTCCTCTCTTTGATCAAATCTTAACTTGATAATCGTTCTGGAACTTGTTCGTGCTCGATATCTACATAAATATACATTGATACATATCAGTATCCAATTGATATATTCTAATCTATCATTTCTTAGACCAAAAGAAAGGTCTAATTCTATTTTCCCTTGAAGTGCATCGATACATTCTACAGTGTATCGATGCATCCCTTAACATGTGCATCGATGCACTACCTATGGATCGGTACACAAATCACCTTCGATGTTTCAATCTTAAGGGAGTGTATCGATGCACTCCTTATGCATCGATGTACTAATTGCATTTGATGTTTCCATTTTAAGGGGTGCATCGATGCACTTCCTGTGCATCGATACACACTGAACAATTTCTAGAAATTTACCCTTGATGCATCGGTACATGTTGAATGTGTACCGATGCACACTGGTCCAGAATTCCAATTTATGCACGAATATCACTCAACTTAGCTTAATAGTGCCATAATTCAACCCATTTCATATCCTTAACTTACATGGTCTTACTTAAACCAACTAATACCCATTTATCACATCTTAAACCTCAAAATCCTATCTACCTCTGGGATTGAAAAATTAAACTCAA